TTTTTTAAAAAGGAAAATAACTGCATCACCATTTAATTGATTAGCTGTGATCAGGAAAATTCACAGGGAGAATTGAAGGTACAGTGGAAGGCCTCCTTAGGACCACAGGTCAGCTCAGAGACATACAGGAATGGGCCATGGAGAGGTTTAAGTAGGCAGGGGCCACAAGTTAGGATTGAGGGCCACAAGGTCCACCTGTTCCTTTCCAGCTGTCCTTAAGGCCTGGTGGGCCTTTCAGTGCTATTTTGAGTTCTTTCTTTAGCTGGTTCCAATTGGTCCCTGTCACTTGTAACCTATAAAGTTCTGGCTAATGTACGATGAAAGGTTTCAGCAGAGGAGTGGGGAAGATCTGGGGCATGTAAGTGTGGAAATGGAGTTGCATTAATTCTCTGGGGTCACAACTGAGACAGAACAACTTTCAGGAGAATGAAAATAAAAATCTGAGCTTTAATTTTTGTTTCGTTTTTGACATAGGGTCTTATGTATCTGAAGATAACCTTGAAGTCCTGATCCTCTTGTTTCCATCTCCCAAGTGCTAGAATTATAGGCATGAGCCACTACACAAAGCCTAATTGGGGCTTTAATTAAGAGTCTGATGCTGGCCGTGGTTACGTACACCTTTAAATCCAGCACTTGTGAGGCAGAGGCAGGCAGATCTCTGTGAGAGGCTAACCTGGTCTACATAGTGAATTCCAGGCTGGTTGGGGCTATAGGAAACCCTGTCTAAAAAAAGTCTACTAGGGGGCTGGAAAGGTGTCTCAGTGGTTAAGAGCACTGGCTGTTCTTACAGAGGACCACACTCTGTTCCTGGCACCCACATGGTGGCTAACAGCCATCCTTAACTCTGGTTCCTGGGGATCTGACACCCTCCTCTGGCCTCTATGGGCATTGCATGACACAGGTGCACTTGTATACATGCGGGCAAAACATTCATACACATAAAATAAAATGATTTTTTTTAAAGTCAGCTAACAAAAGGGTACAAACCCTAAGATTCACTTACATGCAGTTCAGAAATTGGAAAAATTAGGGGTCATGGTATCTGTCTGGTCTGGGCCAGCAGGCACACCAGCATGCACTCATCAAACCCCACTGCAAGTCACATCTGTGTGTTCCACTTTATGACAAGGCCGAGGCAGACAGATCTCTGTGAGATCAAGGCCAGCCTGATCTACATAGCTCCATGTCAGCTGGGACTACAGGGGACCCTATCTCAAAAAAAAAAAAAAACAAAACAAAAAAAACCAGCCATCAGGCAACTCACTAATAACATCTGAGATAAAAAGTAAGTTGAGGGCTGGCGAGATGGCTCGGTGATTAAGAACACTGGTTGTTCTTGCAAAGACCCGGGTTTGAATTTCAGCACCCACATGGCAGCTAACAACTGTCCATAACTCCAGTTCCATGGAATCCGACAGTCTCTTCTGTCCTCTACGGGCATTGCAACGCATGGGTGCACTTGCCTACATGCAGGCAATACACACATACACATAAAATAAAAATAATAAACAAAAAAATTTTTTGGTCTTTTTGAGTCAGGGTCTCCCTGTAGCCCCAGCTGTCCTGGAACTCACTATGTAGACCAGGCTGGCCTTGAACTCACAGAGATCCACCTGCTTCTGCCTCCCGAGTGCTGGGATTAAAGGCATGCACCATCACACCCAACAACAAAATATTTTTTTTTAAGTAAATTGAATGGGCTGGAGAGATGGCTCAGTGGTTAAGAGCATTGACTGCTTTTGCAGAGGACCCAGGTTCGATTCCCAGCACCCACATGGCATCTATGAACTGTCTTTAACTCCAGTTCCAGGGGAATCCAAAGCCCTCTTCTGACCTCCGTGGCATTGCATGACACGGGTGCACTCACATACACGCAGGCAATACACTCTTACACATAAAAAATAATAAATTGAAAAACAAAAAAGATAAAAATAGTGCTAATAACCAACCCTTGGGTCGATTAAATGCCTCCTGGTCCCCCTCTGTGATGGCACTGATGTTCCAGCTTTTTTGAACCAAGGAAACCTAGAGTGGGTAAGGGGACAGAGAGGGTCATGGTCAGGGAGGGATTGTGGCCATGAGAGGGACCCAGCCTGCAACACACATTCCAGTATCTTCATCAGTGTCTGCAGTCTGAGAAAGCTTGGTGGTCCTTCCTTAACATCTGGTATCATTGACTGATCCTGGACTTTTCCTCATGGGAAGGCTTCTGAAGACCAATTTTTATGTAGGTCTTGAGGATTCATGCTTCTTCCAGGCTTGGTTTTGGTCATGTTTTTCTAGAAATTGGTCCACTTTATCTGTTATTTATTAACATATAATTATTCATAGTATCTTTATGTTTTTTAAGAATATTTTATGAGTGTATTGCCTGCATGTGTGTAAGTGCACCCTTGTTGCATATTGTGCAATGCCAGAGGAGGTCAGAAGGTGGCATCGGATCCCTGGAACCGGAGTTATGGACTGTTGTTAGCTGCTATTTGGGTTCTGGGAATAGAACCCTGGTCCTTTGCAACAGCAGTCAGTGCTCTTAACTGCTGAGCCATCTCTCCAGCCCCTATTATAATGCCTTTTTTTTTTTTTTTTTTGGTCTTTTTGAGACAGGGTCTCCCTGTAGCCCCAGCTGGCCTGGAACTTGCTACGTAGACCAGGCTGGCCTTGAACTTACAGAGCTCTGCCTGCCTGTGCCTCCCAAGTGCTGGGGTTAAAGGCATGTGTCACCACGCTCAGCTGTATAATGTTTTAACTGGAAAAAAAAAAAAGTGTTCTGTCTGTAGGTAACTGAGTGCACCTTGTGCATGCAATGCTCTTGGAAGTCAGATGATGTCAAATCCCCTGGAGCTGGAGTTATGGTTGTTAGCTGTCATGTGGGTGCTGGAAATCAAAAACTGATCCTCCTCTAGAGCAGTCAGTACTCTTAACCCCTGAAGTCATCTCTCCAGCCCCTATTATAATCCTTATTTCCAGGAGACTGGTATTAGCATACCCATTTTCTTTTTTCTATCCTTTTCTTTCCTCTTCCTTCTATCCTCTCCTTTCTTTCCCACCAGACTGTGGTGCTGGGGATAGAACCCAGGGCTTCTGAGCTACACACCTAGCTCCTCATGTTCACTCATTTTCCTAGTCAGTCTTGCTAAAGATTTATTAAATTTGTTGAAGAACTAAGTTCTTTTATATATATAATTCTTATGGGTGTAATGCCTGCATGTAAGTACACCAGTGTTGTGCAACAGAAGAGGATTTCGGATCCCTTGGAGCTGGAGTTAGGGATTGTTAGCCAGTATGTGGGTGCTGGGAACTGAACCTGGGTCTTCTGCAAGAACAGCCACTGC